GTGTCGCTATCCGGCGGTGATACCGTCGATTTAATCATCGTCAGCAGCAAAAACACCATCAGCGATATCATGAACAAGAAGATGATGCCCTGAACGACGATGTAGACGATGAGTCGCTTCGCCTGACGTCTCCTGATGTCCAGTATCAATGCCAGCTCGGTTAGCAACCATAACGGCGATAGTAACAGTGCTAACGACAAATACACAAGTTTGTGTGTATTGTGGGCCACGGCGCGAATGCTGTTGCCTGACAACAACGCGCTAACTACAGCGAGTATCGCCTCGATCGTAGCCACCACGTAGTTAATAGTAAGCACATGGCAACAACCCACTTGCCATCTACGGCTGGCAGGGTCGAACTCCTTCATGGCTAAAACTCGACAGCAAAAGTTGTCGAAATAAGAATATACGTCGGTGGCCTGACCTCGAAAACAACAAATGAATTTATTCAAGAGACCTACGGACAACGGTGCTGCGTACGTCTTTCAAAGAAGTATGGGGGTAGTAACAGTGATGTTTGCTTGAAACACGGGAATGCGTATTGCTAAAGCGTATGTGGCACAGCGAACGTAAGAAATTCTAACTAGCAACAGTTGCTTGTTTTGCTGCTTCTTCGCCAAATGCTCCAAAACGCTCATTTATTATGCACCGCTGTCCACTGCAGTGACAGATCTTACAAAATGGGAAAAAAACAATGCATAGACAGCATCCTCAGAGGTTGTCAAGTTGATTTTCTAGAGAGTGGTCCCTCCCGCAAGCTACCAATCATCTAGGAATCAAAATTACCGTGATTAAAGCAGTCAACGCTATAAAAGACAAGCTCCATGTTGCCTGTTGAAATGTTCGTTCATTGTCTGGCGAAAATAAGTAACATCATGCCTTCCATACGACAACTGGTTATACACTGAAGTTCTAACCCTGTTTCGATATGAATATACGATCAGTTGTTCGTCCAAAAAAATTGTTTTAATCAATGGGGTCACTATGACCTCAGAATGAAACCTGCGTTATTGCTACACGAAACGGCACAACTTTAGCTTATGATTCGTCTTCGTCTTCTATGGCAGCTTCTCCTTTCGGGTAGCGGAGGCAAACGCGCCAGACAGAGCTTCCAACGTTCCCAATCCTGTGCCACAGTCTGAGCTTCGGCAAAAAACAAATGCAGTCTGGAACAGACTCCTTCCATATATTTGCACCAGGTTAATCTTGGCCTCCCCTGGGCCTTCTGCCGGTCGGTTTGGCAAGAAACACTTGCTTAGCCTTCCTTTCAGGAGGCATTCGGAACACATGCTCAAACCATCGCAGCTGTGAATTCTCAATCTGCTTAAGATTGAACACGAATATTCACTACCATTAATCCTGAGCTGACAGGCATAAGCAACTTCAGACAGTACCTGAAAGAATAAATGAAAGAAAGTTGATTTGTTGAGTGGGATGGAAAAACAAATCATATTTTGTGTAAAACTATGACGAATCGAATCGATAACTGAAAATATTGAATATCAAGAAACAAAAGTGAATTCAGGGGAACAGAACCATCAATAAAGAAGGAACAGGAAGAACATCGCTGGTCGAACGCGATCGCAAATGCTCACTTCGGCATCAACCGTCTGTATTCATCACGGTTCATCATTTCACAGTCGATCAAGCATGTGATAGAAAAGAAAAACTTCAAATCCGTCTTAAAATAAGACGAAAAATTAAGATCCCGCTTGAGGAAGACTAGGAGGAGGGCACAATAAACAGAAACGAACAGACCGAGATTAATTTACTCCACTAACTGCACTGAATGTAACCCGCCCTGCATCAGTCAAACCGCCACAGCATCACAAACAAGCATGGTAGAACACAAGAGTGCAGCTACCATCACGAATCCAACTATCAAAGAAAAGCTGGGGAAGGAGGCTTCGCAAAAGAGGCTCGGCAATGGCTCTTCACAAAATTTTTACCCCCCCCCCGCAACACAG